TTCTTGGGTTTGGCAAGATACTATAGACATTTTGTGGAAGGATTTTCGGCTATAGCAATGCCGTTGACACGTCTGTTAAAGAAAGAAACGAAGTTTGAGTGGACTGACAAGTGTGAAAGGAGTTTCCAGGAATTAAAGCATAGATTAACGACGGCACCGGTATTGACTATTCCATCAGGATCTGGAGGTTTCAAAATCTATAGTGATGCGTCGTTGAAAGGATTAGGATGTGTGCTGATGCAATATAGGCGAGTAGTAGCCTATGCATCAAGGTAGTTGAGGCCGCATGAACTGAATTATCCGACGCATGATTTACAATTAGCCGCGATCCTATTCGCCGTTAAGATTTGGCGACATTATTTATGTGGAGAGAAATTCCAGATATATACGGACCATCAGAGTTTGAAATATTTGTTTTCTCAAAAGGAACTGAATATGAGACAGCGTCGGTGGATGGAATTACTTAAGAATTATGATTGTGATATTTTATATCACCCCGGGAAGGCCAACCGGGTAGCCGATGCATTGAGTCGGAAGTCAAGCATCGCGCACTTGATGGTCAAGGAATGGACTTTATGGGAAGGAGTGCGAGACTCGGAGTTTAGATTTGAAGTAAGTCAAGTCTCGAGCTTGTTTGCCACTTTAAGAATCGAACCAGAAATCCAGACTAAGGTTAAGGCCTTACGGTCTGCGGATCAAGAAATTCAAAAGATTCTGGAAATGGATGCTAGCAAAAGGAAACCGGACTTTCGAATATCCGAAGACGGGATATTGAAGTTCCGTGGACGGTTGTGCGTGCTTGACAATGCAAAACTTAAGGAAGAAATTTTGTCGGAAGCGCATCGTAGTAATTATAGCATCCATCCCGGTAGTACGAAAATGTATCAGAATTTAAGACAATACTATTGGTGGAATGGCATGAATGTGGACATAGCTAAGCACGTGGCTAAGTGCCTGACGTGCCAGCAAGTGAAAGCGCAACATTGTAAGCCCGGAGGATTTTTGCGACCTTTGGAAATCCCAGAATGGAAATGGGAACATATTACTATGGATTTTGTGATGGGATTACCAAGGAACCAAAGAGGCCATGATTCCATTTGGGTGATTATCGATAGATTGACAAAATCAGAGCACTTCTTGGCCGTGCGAAAGGACTTCGCATTGGATCGGTATGCTGAGTTATACATACAACAGATAGTTCGTTTGCATGGGGTACCAGTAAAGATTACCTCAGATCGTGATCCTAGGTTTACCGCCAACTTTTGGAAAAGTCTGCAGACGGCATTAGGATCAAAGCTGCAGTTTAGTATAGCTTACCATCCACAAACAGATGGCCAGTCTGAGAGGACGATTCAGACTTTAGAGGATATGCTTCGGGCATGTGTATTGGATTTTCAGGGCAAGTGGGAAGAGCAATTGTCCTTAGCAGAATTCGCGTATAATAATAGTTTTCAGCAGAGCATCGGAATGGCGCCATTTGAAGTGCTATATGGCAGGGCTTGTAGGACACCCGTATGTTGGGACGGAGTGGGAGAAAGGAGTATAACCGGGCCAGAATTAGTTCAACAGTCAATTGAGGCGGTTAAGATAATTCGTGAAAGGCTGAAAACAGCCCAAAGCCGTCAAAAGAGTTATGCAGATAGAAGGCGAAGACCTTTGGGATTTCAAGTAGGGGATCACGTATTCCTTAAGGTATCACCCATGAAAGGATTATCCCGATTTGGTAAGAAAGGGAAGTTGAGTCCGAGGTATATGGGACCCTTTGAGGTTTTAGAAAGGATTGGAGACTTAGCTTATCGCCTTGCACTACCGCCAAGTCTATCGCAAATGCATAATGTATTTCACGTGTCGATGCTGAGAAAATATGAACCGGACCCAACTCATGTGTTGAATTATGAAGAGATAGAAGTTGACGACAGGGTGTCGTATATTGAAACACCAATAAGAATTAAAGATCGGAAGGAACGAGTTCTAAGGAATAAGACGATCCCCATGGTCAAGGTTGTTTGGGAACACCACGGGACAGAAGGTGCTACTTGGGAAAGCGAGGAGCTAATGCAACGTCAATACCCCCACTTGTTTCAGTAGTTAGGTTGAATTGTAAATTTCGAGGACGAAATTTTTATAAGGGGGGAAGAGTTGTGACATTCTGAAATCCGACCCACTTGGGATTTATGAAATGGATGATTTATGGACGTGCTTGTAGTTAGATCTCGCCCGGAACTGATCACTCCTGGGATACTAACCGTTAGGGAAAGGCTAATTAGGGATTTAAATTTCGCGCAACCAAAGAAACTCGATCGTGAACTGACTTTCGACCATGAAAATTGTCGAGGTGACATTTTGAGCCAATGTAGGCCGATCCAAGGATAGTTAGGGATCAGTTCGCCGCTGTCACACGAGTGGATCGCGGGTGATTCCGCTTGACCACTAGATGTGTTGACGAATGATCCTAAACCTATACCAAACGATCGCGCCCGTCGGAACTAGCGGTCGATCCTCGCGATTAAGTGACAACCGAGGTCATCACGACCCGAGTGAACTTAAACGTGGCTTGATTCAGTATCGGCCACGGGTCAAATGTGCGAATTTCCCCAAAAGCCACCCATTAGTTCGAGATACGCTCAAGTTACATTAATTAAATTTAATCATTAATTAGAGACCAAGTTTGCGCCTCGGAAATTACGAAGGTCATGACAGGATAATTGGACTATGTTGTTATTGGCTTAGTCAGCCTCAGATTTGTCCGGATTCTTCAAAAAATTCGAATTCTGGCGAGAAATGGAAAATGACCATTTTACCCTAGGGAATTTGTTAAGGCCAAGTATAATGGGAGAGGGGCAATCTGGTCATTTCACACCTACTTTAGAAATAGAAATTTTTAGATAATTTTGCCCTTGGAAATTTTGTGAAATTCCCATTTTACCCCTGGATATTTTTTGTAAGGATTAATCTGGACCGTCAATCTTAGGATAAGATCGAATCTTGGCCATTGATTGGAAATTAGAGAGAGGGGTAGGATGGTCATTTGGCATGTGTATTAGACACCAATTATTGGCCCTTAGACTATTTAATCTCATTTTTCTCTCTCTCCCCTCACTCTCTCTTTCTCGGCATCTCTCTCTCCCTCTCCCTCCCGGTCGAGCTTCCCCCTCCACCCATCGTGATTGTGGCCAGCCGCCTAGGCCGGTCGCCGCCGCCATCTACCCGCCTAGCCGGATCATCCGTACGCCGGAGCCACCGCCGCCGCCGTGGCCGCATCCTCGCCTCACACCACCGCCTCACCGCCTCTCCCCTCCCCTGTTTTTCCCTGCACTGAACACCATCACCACCATCCCCATTCAGTTCTGTTCAGCCGTGGAAGACCAGCCGCCATCCAGCCACCGCCGTCCGCCGAACCGCTCGCCGTCGCCGTCCGCCGCCGTGTGGCCACCGGCTGTCGCCCCTCCTTTTCTGCCCGAGCTAGCTTAGGTTTCCAAGTAAGTGACATCCTAAACTCTATTTAGGATATCAGGTATCGACGGACTTGATTAGGGGCTGAATCGGGTTAATTAGTGACGGTTTAGGGGTTAATTAGTGGCTGTTTAGGGGTTATATTAATGGACTGATTTGGGGACTTGAATTGGCTGAATTGTGGGTGAATTTGTGATGTTCCGGGACTGATTTGATGTGGAGTTGAGTGCTGGAAATTGGGGCGTGAAATGAGGAGCATATGGTCCGATTTAGGGACTAATTGTGTCGGTTTGGTGTGTTGTGTTGTGGCTGGTTTGTGGTGATTGTTATGGTTGCAAATAGACTTGGAAATGTTGAATTTATGCTCGTACTAGTGGCTGCGATTGTGGGTCCAAGGGCGGCCTTGTATGCTCGTTGGATTGTGAATTGAATGATTGAAATGTGGACCGTTATATGCACGCATGGGCTGAATTGATTTGACTGGTAATTGGCCATGATTGGGTGTTAATTGAGCATGTAAAATACGTGAGGTTCGATGCGTGCATGGGCCGAATTTAATCGGCTGGTAATTTGGCATGTTGGTGTGTAAATCGAACGAGTGAATGAATGAGAAAATGTGTGAAATGTTGTGCGTGTGGTCACGAAAATCCCTGAGGCGGTACTGTAACGCGGGGAATTGTGCCGTCCTGAGGCGGTACTATAACGCAGAACGATGCCCGGTATTATCGAAAGACTACTAACCTGAGACGTGTACTTCAACGCGGGTTGTGCCGTAGGTGGTGGATGTTGAGCCTGAGGCGGTACTGTTACGCTGGCAAGAAACATAGCCTGAGGCGGTACTATTACGCGGGCTAAGAAATGTTGTGAAATTGAGATGGTCATGTGTGGACCGTGAATTGAAAGTGAACCTGAGGCGTGTACTGTAACGCGGGTCACTAGCAAGTCGAATGATAATGATGTGATGAGGCATGAATGAGTGTGTGAAATGTGGAAATGAAATGCCCTGTGTTCGACTTGTGTATTGGGCATGAAATATATTTGGAATGTACATGTGATTGGAAATTGTGTATTTGAGACTAACCTGCAGATTGCGCGTATCAAAAGCCCAGGTAAGTGCAAATTGTGTGCCTGTTATGTGGTCGTTGAATGTGATTGTGTTTGGACTTGTCTGGAGGTACGTGTTAGCCTAGGTGGGGTTTAGGGTGTGTACTTGCTGAGACGTGTTCTCATGGTTATTTCAACCAAACAATTTCAGAACCCCGGCCTGGATCATGAACCTCCCACCGCCACCGCCTGAGTGTTTTGGAGTACCGATGCACACCGACCATAACGTTGTAGAGTATTCGATAGACGAGAATATGGCCTGGATCAAACATACTACAGTAGTCTGGGTAGACATAGGGCAACCCCTTTGGCAGGCCCACACCTATACCGCCTAGTATTTTCGGGATGGCCTGGACGAGTTTGGCCCTGTCCGTGGCTTTGATGTTCCCTTTGACGGAGTAGGGGACTGGGATCCGTCTGCCATACCCCCTCCCGATGGTGAGATGACTAGCTTGGATACTAGTCTCGCCCAGTCAGGATATCAGCACGTACCCCTAGCGCCCGAACCTTCAGTAGCTGAGCCTGATCCGGAGCCGGAGGAATCACAGGCAGGGTATGATTCGATAGATGTGGATCTAGAGGCAGTGCTAGAGGAGGAACCTGAAGAAGAAGAAGAACCAGAAGAAGAAGACCCCGAAGAAAAGCTTGAAGAGGCACCGGAAGAAGACCTAGAGGTGGAACCAGAGGACGAGCCAGAGGAAGAGCCAGAAGAGGAGTCTGATGAGGAGGACCGGATTGAGGTTCCGATAGAGTCGGGTGATGAGGACAACCCGATTGAGATCGAGGCGGATTCGGAGTCTTCCGAGGAGCCGGATGATTAGGGGGTTTCAGATCTGGATTCCGGGGAGACTGAGTCGGAGTGGACACCGTCTAGCGGGCGTAGGGGCTAGTTTAGGGGTTGAGTAAACCTTTTTGGAGTGTCCCATTTTTGGAGTTAGGGTATACCCAGGCTACTAATCCTTTTTGATATCGGTAGTGTAAAGTGTAGTAGCTCGGTGTGCATGTATATTCTGTGGATTGTAAATGATGGATATTGTATAAGTTTGAATCGATAATAGAGGTATATTCTTCCTTTTTCCCGTAGTCAATATTGTCTGGGTATTTATGGCTTTCGCTGGTGCTTTATATCTCTGATGAGTTGATTTAGGTCGGCGGCGTTTTCTGGGACGTCGCACTAATTCGACCAAAGGGGGATGCCACGAGCTCGATGGGGTTCGGGGCGTGACAACAATCATCAACAAATGTCACAAACCAACGAATTCCAAAAACAGTAGTAATTGGAGAAGGTCCCCAAACATCAGAATGTAAAGGGAATGTCATTTTATGCAAGCTTATTGGGAAAGGTACACGATGACTTTTAACAATAATGTAAGTTTCACATTTAAAAGCTGAATTCTGTAAGTTGGAAAATAAATCAGGAACTAGGTACTTCATATAAATGGACGACGGATGTCCCAAATGACAATGCCATAGCCAAATCTGTCTCTCCTTGATACTAGCTGAGTGTTGCATGTTGTTTGCTTTACCAGGACTAAAATCATTTAGGTAGTATAACCCCCCTCTCTTAGTACCACGCCCAACGATCTCATTTATGAGAATATCCTGGAAAAGACAAAAGGTGAGGTCGATTAGAGCAACACAATTCTTCAGTGACTTGGCCTACATATATCAATTTATTTGAGAGAGAAGGAACCAGCAAAGTATTAGATAAGCAAAAAGAGGGCGAGAGATCAACTGTCCCAGCTCCTGTGATAGGGTATACGACCCCATTAGCATTGGCAATTCTACTTTGTTTTGGTTTAGTAATCTTCACAAATTCATTTGAACTGAAAGTCATGTAGTCAGTTGTCCCCGAGTCAACAATCCAGCTGTCGTAATTATCCCGATTAGAACTAAGCAATGCATAGCCACGATTACCTTGATCATTGAGAGTAGTTGAATCACTTGACGGTTCCACTTGTGAAATCAAAGATAAGTGAGGTTCCGCAATTACCAAGGAAGCTTGTCCCAACCCGCTATTAGCATCTTTCCGTGCCTTGAGTTCTTTCTGCCATTCTGGGTATCCATGTAACTTAAAGCAAGTTTCACGAGTATGCTTCATGTTCCCACAGTGTGTACAGCCTCCTTCCGATTGTGCCTTGGCCTTTGATGTTGTATTCATCTTTCCACCTCCCGAAGAGGAAGAACCGGTTTTGAACATTTGGAGCGTCAGTGGTCGTTGAGGTTCCATCTTAACTCCTTTAGAGGCCATGGCAGCAGTGTTGACACCTAAATTTTGGTGACCCGGTTAATCGTTCATTGCATAAAAATTAAGGATCGATCTCGGCTCCTAAACAAAAAAATAGTTAAATAGCATATAGTTAATAGGAGCATATTTCGTTATCAGGTAAGTTCATGAATTACATTGAAATTGGACCGGCGGTGGCAAGCTTATTTAAATTAATCGAAATGAGCCATAAAATTGATCAAAATTCGATTATCATGGGAGCAAGAAAATTGACCTGCATTGAATAAAGAGGAAAGAATTGATGCATGATTCTTTGGCCGTATTCACACAATATTGGCAAAATAATAAAGAAAGGGAAGGAGTAAAAGTGAATCTCATTTTATTGGGAAGGGATAAAAGGATATATTTCTTTTCCTTGTCCAAAGTTTGATATCCTTGCCTATATAAAGGAGAGTGAGGCCATGCAGCGGGGAGGGCTTTTCTTTTGGTTTGACAGTAAAAGGACAAGAGAGATAAAACAAGAGAGAAAAGAGAGAGGGGGAGTCATCTTCTTCTTTCCATCCCCACTACCCGACGCCATTGTTGCTGCACCGAGCCGCTGCTGCTTCCTCGCGAAGACTGACCCTGTTGCCTCGCGAACCGTACAAAGAAACACACGGTAAACTGCTGCAGCCTGCTGATCCCGTGGAGGTCCTTGCCCCGACGAGCCTTAGTCCCTTGTGCTACCTGCGACCAACGCAGCACCTTTGCTGTTTGCCCCCACTTCGATGACACTGCTCGTGTTCCGACTTCATCGCTATTCCTGGGCTTGAGATCACCTCAGAAGACGACGACGATATGCTACTCCATCATCGTGAATCCTTCATCCGGTCGAACGAAGTTGCTCTCTTTTTGTAGGTTATCCCAGAGTATCTCGCGCCCTACCACCCGAGAAGACCCAGCCGTGAGTCCTCTTCATGCTTGGCTTTCGCAACATCGGTCATGCGAGCCGCAACAACTAGTTTTTCTCGTGACGACGCGCTACTGTTGCTCGCGCTAGACACGCTCCTGGTGAAATCCTTCGCACCGTTGTTCCCAACCCACGACGAACTCTTCCCTACACTTAGTCTTTAATCTTGCAGAATTTGTGGAACTAATCAGTGAAGGTGTCCAGCGAAACCACCGAAAGAACCACGGCAAAGTCAAAGCTCCTCTCGGTCAAATTTTCTCACCATTTGAGAGCTCATTTGTGAACTTGCCACCGTGAGCCCACCGTGTGCCCTTTTGCTGTTGGGCACTTGCCTTGTCACCACCGCAATCCGGCCACCGTCCGCCGGTCCAAATTTGGAAAGCAAATATTTGAATTAGGTAAAAAGCTCATCTAATTTGACTTTTGAGTATATTGTTTCATTGTTTGAAATATTGCAATCTTGTGTGAATCTTTGAGTGATATTATCGTATCTATTAAGTTCTCGAATAGCCTTTAAATTAGGAATTGTTTCCTAATTTCATAACGTGCTATGGTTGACAATCCGATCTCCCGCCCGAGATATGATTCACAATCGCATGGAAAATCTTCAATCCGATCTCCTGCCCAAGATATGATTCGCGATTGTGCGGAAGATTGGCCAATCCGATCCTCATGCCCAAGATATAATTCGTCAATCTATTATTTCTAAATTTAAATGGATATGGATAATATTGCTTGTGATTGGGTGTCGTGTTCATTTCATTGTTATTTCTTTCCGTCTTTTGTTTGAATTGAATTAATTGTCTTTTCATAAAATATACAAAAAGATTAGGTAAAATTTGAGTAGATAATATAATGCATGTTTAGGATAAATTTTGATTATTTTCTTAGAATAGATTAGATTCTTTTCTTAGATTTTACATGTTTAAATTAGGTTAATTATTTATTCCGAATTTAGATTAAAAAATATAAAAAATACCACGTGCATGTCATATTAGAGTAGTTGCATATATTATAATTCTCGTCATTAAAAATCTCACGTCTAGGTTCATTTGCGTGCCATATTAGAGATAGTGTATTTAATTGTTGTTAAAATTAGGACATTTAAATAAATCGTATGTCGCATGTCATACTAGACGTAGAATGCATTGCATAAATTTTAATTTTCGTTAAATCAGAGAAAACCCTTAAAAAAGATTTGAGTGAATTTGTGTGTTAATTAGAAATCATATTAGAGTTATAAATGTGATTTTCTAACTAACATTGCAAATGATTTCGTTGCTTTGAGGTAAGTCCCTATCTTGCAATTTATTGATTTGCATTATTGAGTGTTATATTATTGGTTGCACACCAGCATGATCACTTCGCATGTTAGTGGATAGGTTTAAAATCAATCCAAGCTGTATGCAAATATTTTTTCAAATAAAAGAGGAAAGGTACCGAAAGGGCATTAGAGTAATCTAATGTAACCAAGTCCCCGAATCCATAATCTCTGGTTCGTAAGAGTAAAGTAATTCTTTCGATACTTTACTTGAGTTTCTAATTGACCCACCAAAAAATAGATTAGTGGCGACTCCTGATTGAAATGATTTGCATGTTAAGAACTTAAACCCTAAGTCATGAATTGGTAGGACTTGGGAGGGCCCGAGTTAGGCTTAGACTTAATAATCCATTAGCCGAACCCCTAGATGGTGCACCGCGGGAGGTTAGGTCGCGACAAGCAGCATGTGTAAATTACATGCCCAACACCATAACTACTTGTCTTACATCCTCCCTTCGGACATGAACATAAGCTTGTTCAATCGTAGGGAATGGTTGAATTTGAAGCACATCAACCCGTATTTTATCCAGATGATCATCTAACCCATCAAGAAAAATATAGACTCTATCTTCCTGTAGGGCCGAGTTAGACCTCCCTATATCAGTAGGACAGTCCATCGGGTTAGGGCAACGGAAGTCAATTTCTCTCTATAAACCTTGAAGACCATTATAATATGTTTCAATGGGCCCTCCGGCTTGTCTCATTCTAGTCACACATTTTTTTTAAATCATACACTTGAGAGGTGTCAGTTCCATCAAAAATAGTTGTAGCAATCGAATCCCATACCATTTTTGCGGTTGGAAAACAAATAAAATTGCTTATCAAGGCCAGGTCCATGGAATTAATCAACCAACTCTTCATAATTGCATTTTTAGTTCTTCATTTCTTAAAGGTTGGATCCGTCGGTTGAGGCCGTGGAAATTCCCCATTGATATATCCCAATTTGTCTTTGCCAGAGATATACAACTTGGGACCATAAGGCATAGTTGGTGCCGTCCAACTTGATGCCAATATGTGTAGCGGAAGAATCGTTGTTTGACGCTTGGGTTTGAGTCTAATCCTGGGTCAAAACTTGTGTCATTAGGGTTGCTAAGTCGTCAAGGATGGCAGTTGTAGAAGGACCCTTGCCTTGTTGTTGGTGCGCCACTATATCAGTTGTTTCTTCCATAGAATCTGATCAAGTTTGTTCCTCCCTTTTCTAATTTTTGGGTCGAAGTTTGATCATAACATAAAGCCCCAGGATCTCTGCTCTGATACCATGATGAACAGAGAAGTTTTTTTCTCTAATTTCTCTTTTCAATGAATACAACAACATATATAGTTG